TATCAGTATCTTCGGGTGCTTTCTTTAACGAGGTGTAAGAGGCAATGATGTATGATAAAAGTATTCCATTAACTTATACTCAGATTATTTTAGACAAAGAAAATACAAACGTGAGTGAGTCATTAGCTGTAGAAGGCTATTTTAAAAACAAAAATACTAATTATTGCAATATTATTAACCATTCTTTAGTTATACTAAAAAATATTTACAAAAATATGTGGGAAAACCAATTGGATCTTAATGATTTCAATTTCAATAAAAGATCAAAAAGTGGTATTCAATTTTTGGGTAACGTATTTCATTTTTGTTATAATGTTGCTACCGAAAAACAACTAAAAAACTTTTATTCTAATGACCAAATTTTAAAAGATCAGTTTAATAAATTAAAAAATGTTTTTGCTTCTGATCACAAAGATCTTAATGATATCACTTCACAACTTAATAATTATACTTCTAATACCAACATTAAAATCGAATTATTAAAAACGGCGTTTCAAAAAATTAATGATGAAAATAGAAATATGCAATGTTGGAAAACAATACCTTAAAAAATTCAATTCAGGACATACAAGAAATACTTTTTAATATAATGACTGTTTTTTCTAAATTAATTGATTATGGTAGAAGGTCTAATACACAATTACATTGCAAAAATAATAAAATCTGTTGATATACTTTATAAAGATTTATTGAAATTACAGAAAACAATAAATAAAGACGGTTATGAATTAGTTATTCCAATAAAAAATCTACATTCTTATTACAATTTACCTATTGCTGAATGTTAGTTTTCGGAAACTCAAATATTATTAAAAATAAAAATTCCTATCAAAGAAAGTAATTCAATATGGAAACTTTTTCAATATATCCCCGCTAATTTCAAATTTCACGATTCCATTTGTCTAATCTTTTCAGAAAAAACTTACATTGCAGTTAATGAGTTTAACGACGAATATAGGGTTGTTTCTAGTGTCGGGTTACAACACTGATTATCCGGTTATTAATTTATGTTTTATTCTAAAATTTTCCGTTGACGTAACACTCTCACCAAGATGTGTGGAGGCGATTTACAAAAATTTACGATTAGAACAAATCAATCAAGTCTGTTATTTTCAATGTATTAAGCAAATAGAAAATGACTATATTATTATCAAACAAATAGGAGTAAATAGTTTTTACGTCAAATAATAACAGTTCGTATTTAGTTGAAGATATTACACTCAAAAATTGAAAAAACATACCTTAATCAAGTAAAAAGTAGCTTAAATAGCTTTATCCATACAAACAATTAAAATCATTAATTTTTAATATTTTTAAGTATCTATTGTCAAATAAGATTTGATATTATAAAAGTATTCAACTACAAAAGTAAATAATTTTCTTTGTAATTTATTAATTTTTTAACTCTATTTTTATGAGCTACTACCAGTCTAAAACATTCCTATTTTTTTTGTAATAAGTTGCTATATAAATCATAAATAAAAAAAAAATGGTTTTTAGTTTCACCTGAATTTAGCGATTGATTTTTACAATTATAATCAAATTTTATAATACGCTCAATTTAAAAGATCTTTTTAACTTTATTTTTATTGTTTTTTTTAGTTAAAGTAAATATTACAATTAATTCAGTTCTGCATATTTCAACTGAAGAATCTTTTTAAACACCAAAAGTTAATTAAAAATGACTACAAAGATTTCTATTTAAGTGATCTATTACGATAAAAATTAACAAAAAATCGAGCTTTTCTGATAAATTTTTTGTATAATAGTTGTCGCGTCGCATCACATTTTCGGGTTACCACCGGATGGCGATCGCGGCGCTTCCTCTTCACGTCCGACAGGTCGCGCTATTTGGGATGGCCGACAGGCGGAACAAACCGGTCTCTCGGGTACTGGACAAAAAAGACGTGATACACTGATTTCGACTTTGACTTTGAATTTTCAACTGTCACGTTGACCCATTTTAAGCAATGGAAGATATTCCAAAATATTGTCTTGTAATTGTAAATAATATTAATACTATTATTATTAAAATACCTAGTGTTTACTAATTATTTATTACACTTATTACCCTGATTACATCAAGTGGCGCAGTCGTAAAAGTATTTTTGAAGATTTAAGGTAAGTGCAAACTTAGTCAAACATTATTTTTGTACCTCCTATTTCATTTAAATAAAGGAACTTAAAGCTTCTATTGACTTAATCTTTAAAGGGCTCAAGTTAAGTTAAGTCTTAAACTTTTGGGGTAGTTAAGTGAATTAGTAATTTTAGGAAATATTAAGTATAGCCCATAAACGTGGTTTGAGCTATCTCCCATTGACCTAATTGCATTCTATTATTAGTTATATCACCACTCATAATGTCAGGTAAGACCATACTTGAGTTAACAATAAGAGAATTGCAAGGGAAGCTTACGCGACTGGGGTCCCAAGAAAACCCATCGTTTTCTCGGATGAGACAGCCAAAATCAACTTACTCCGGTGAAAATAATAATTTTTCCGAAAAAAATTTACGATTATACGGTGCAAACCGTAAATCAATCAGAATCCACGGATCAAGTGTCCTGGAAGGTTACTTTTACTCTGAGGAAAAGATTAAGAATAGGAGAACATTTACTTATAACGAGTCATAGCTACTTTTGCCAGACAGCCTGTCTTTAACACAAGCTTCTCTGCTGAGTTTTCCGGCAAATGACAGGAAAATCCGACTACATTTATATCGAAGACTGTAGCGGTCCTCGATGAGGCTAGATTACCATTTAACAAATAGGTACAAGTCCTAGCACCTCAACTCAAGGCGGAGGCCGGAACATGATGGGGAATTATATGTTGTATGAAACCAACTTAGCAGATGTTCCGACAACAGTTTATGCAAAGGTTCTATAATAGTGAGTCTATCCGGACACAAATTCGCAACGATTTTCACAATGGTATTCAGGGAGAGAATCAGTCGTTAGGCGAGTTCATTATGTGGAAGTGCCAGCTAGCCCGCCGACTAAACTCTAGGCTTGCAGACTACGAGCTAGTCGATCTTATCGTGGCGTTGATAAACAGAGACTATCGAATACACGCACGTGTTAGGCGACCGAAGTCAATAGACAATCTGTTCGAGCTGGCTAACGATCTGGATAGTGAAGAATTCTCATGGCAACGGCAGCCCGAAGAAAAGAGGTTTTCGTCTGGTGGGTACTAGATAGCCTAATAAACTACCACTGCCGAGTTCAAACAGTAAACTGCTGGAAAATAAGCATGATAAAGCGGCGAGATGCAAAAACTGCAATCGGTACGGTCACTGGTGGGCGAACTGCCCAAACAAAAACCAGAAGAAGTCGGGAAACGAGAAGAGTTCCTGTCGGTCCACTGAAAATCGCCTGGACAGAAAGTGAAAAGACCCAGCAAGACCTTCTAACAAGTATTTTGCTGTCGGTCTCGTAGTCTTTCCCGGTAAAATTCACTGAGGAGTTCACTCTTTTTAGCGGAATTCAAAATCAACAGAGAAAATCTGACAGGGATTCGTTATACAATATAGATCTCCGGGCAGCAGAACTTTTCCCCTAAGAAAACCAACAGGAACCGAACGGGTTACGCACGAAACTACATGCACTGAGGTATAATGTTCCAATATTCAATGTAGACTATTTTGTATTGACTGAAACTTGGTTAACTTGGTTAAGCTTGGATTTGATAACTTTAATATTTTTCGTGTCGACCGAAGCTATAAGACTAGTAAATGCTCTAGAGGTGGCGGTGTAATGATTTGCGTGCATAAACGTTATAACTCGAAAACAATTAATGTCCCTATAGATAGTATTGAACAACTCTTTGTAATGATTAAACATGGAAATGGCCATAAATTTATTTTAGGTTCATGTTATATTCCACCTGTTAGCAAGTTAGAGGTATACATAGCGCTAACTGAAACTATTGAGTATATCTATAGTTTATACTCACTTGATATTAATTTCACACTTATCGGCGATTTCAATTTACCCGGCATTCAATTTTTCAACAAGCGTACTGGTCTAGATTACAATTGCAATAGTAATTCTTATAATACAATTTACCAAAGTTTTGCTCTACTTAATTTACTTCAAATAAATAATATTTTGAATGAATTCGTCTCTCAACTAGACTTAGTTTTTACAAGTGATAATTCTATGGATATCCTCCCTTCTAATGATAGTATAGTAAGAATATTTCAGAAACAGATTGTTCAAAATCGTGGTTTTATAATTTTAAAAATATAGAATTTTCAACAATAAATAACATGTTAGCAAATATCGATTGGTCTAATTTGTACTCATCAAATGATATAAATATAGCCTTAACCTTTTTCTATAACGAATTACTAAATGAAATAAACGTTTTAGCCAAAAAAGTGTTTATAAATCAATCGAAATTTCCAACATGGTTTTCAAGCGAACTACGATCATTAATTAGAGAAAAAAAAAATACATAAAGCTTTTAAATCTACTGGCGACCGAAACTTATACATTGAATTTTCACTACTGAGAAATAAATGCAAATTGCTATCAAAATCATGCTATAAGAATTATTTAAAATATACTCAAGAATCTTTAATTTATAACCCAAAATATTTTTGGAAATTTATAAAAGAAAAAAAACAAAGCAATGATCTCCCTAATATAATGTGCTTTAATGATCATACAGCGGAAAATTCTAATGATATTGCTGAAATGTTCAAAACTTATTTTAGCTCTATATATATCCCTTGCAAAGCGTCTTCTAGAAATTATTTACATAGCTTGTCTGTTAATAATGATATAATTGATTTTTCATCTTGTACACTTTCTATTACTGAAACTTTTGAATCTCTTAATAAACTGTCTTTAAGTACAAAAGTAGGTCCTGATCAGATTCCAGAAATAATTTATCGCAAATGTTGTTATACTTTAACTGGCCAATTCATTAACTATTAAACTTATCTTATCTTTAAAGAAAAATAAAAATAAAGTATATTTGTAATTTATTTGTAAATACCCGAAACCATTGAACTACTGCACCAGTCTGCAAATCTATTATTCGTAAGACGCTGTCTCTTGTTTGTATCAACAATCTTTTTCCAGCCGGATGTAGTTGGATATTACTGATAATCACATTTCTGATTTCTGGTACGGATATTATTCTTATTTTGTTGAGTCTTGAAAATATTGTATTTATTGTATAAATTGTAATACTACTTAATAATTGAAGGGTATAAAAAAATAATTGCTATTGTAATCTAGGAAATTACTTAACCGCCTTTTACTTTATTATAATAATATAAAACCTACTTGTGTCTTCACTACATTTAAGCAGAGTCTATGTGTATTACGGGTACAATAAGATATAGTAGAAGACAATTTATTCTACATATATTAATTTATTATATTAGTTATAAGGTAATTAATTACTTTAACTAAAGGGTTTGTTCTTTTATTTTGCCACTAAATAAACTTAATTTAACAAATTAAAATAAGATTTATTAAGATATTATTAGATAAAATATAGCTAATAAACTTACTCAGTTAAATTATTGAGTAGTAACTTTTTGTTAGAGAATTTTATAAGAAATATTATGGAACAGTTCATTTTTTTTTTAATCAAGATCTATTAAAAATCTCTCAAATGTTTATCCTTTATTATAAAAGTCCCCTGTTATTATAGAATAATATAGGTTTTGTATACATCTGTTAATAGTTATAAACACCTATTATTTTCTAATGACCACTCTGCTATTATTCCATGACTATCAGCCGTAAGTACTATTCTGTTGAGATAAGTAACTATACTTGAAATGAATCCTTTATGAAACTCAGCTTCTTGGCATAAAATCCATTTTTTATGGGCTGTTATCCACAATCGTAAGATATTATCATAACACCCAGTTATAATGACATTTCCACAGTATTCTGCACAATAAACGTATGATGGATGTGGAAGTATCTGTAATATTATTTTTGAATATTTATGAACTTTCATCAAATTTAAGTATTTAATGAGTTGGCAAATTTTACTGAACACCCTTAATAAAAATTATTTTTAGAACCTCGCTCAGTCAGAGAAATCAGTATTGCTATTGTATTATTCCGTATTTACTAAAATTATCAGGTGCAATATAAAACTTTCAGCTCTTATAAAGTAAAAAAAATTAAGCTCGTTCAACAGAATTTTTTTTTATATGACAATAATAGAAGTTTTGAGTTATTTCTTAATACAGGTTAAATTTCAATTATACTATAAATGCTTACTTGAAAATCGATTTTCTTAAAATCTATTAATGTCCAAACACAAGCAGTATAGTCGGAAGAGGATGATAAAAGGTTTTTATTATCTTTATTCCATCTGATAGAGTAAATTAAACCTAAAATGTACAATTGTTAGTTCAATTATCTGTTATAGTTAAATGTTTTAATATTTACTTAAATAAATAAATAAAAATAAACAGAAATCGGTACTTGTTTGAAGGACACCATTATAAATTGAAATATATCATTAATTAAAAGCATTATCATAAAATGTTTTGATTACATTTCACATTAAGAAAGTTACAGTTAAAATTTGGAAGGGCCAACCAACTTTTGTAGGGTTTCAAGTCCAGTTTCAATTTTATTAATCTGAATCGATGATAGCAACTAATTGATAAAACAATATTTACCTTGATGACCTGTCAAATGTTTGTACAATTTGAAATCAGGTACTGTATATATGTTTAAATATTTTCCAGAAGCTACGGCTAATTTAAAGCCATCACTACTGAACTTGAGACACATGCATCCCTCAGAACTTGGTTGAAGTTTGATTACTTCAGAATTCGGAAGCTTACATTTTTGGCCAGGGAGTTTTTCCCATTTAATATCACATTTCTAAAATGCAAAAGTCAATTTTTATCCTTTTAAAATCACAGCATTCAAAAATTATTGTACTATATAAAGATATTAGTATCTATAAAATAAATAAGATAACATTATACTATAAAATATTATATCATGATAAACAACTGTAGTACGACAATAATAACAATTATAGAATAGTATACAAGTTTCAGGACTCTCAGCAATCACTCTAGAACTTTCATAGTTAAAAATTAAATATGAAAAAAAACTTTTTCTCATGAAGTTGGACGCAACTACGTATTTTGTACTATAGTAACACTACATACAAAAATGATTTTTGTATCATAATACGCTTCATTATTAACAAAATAAAAATATCTTAAGCATAAAATTAATTGTTTATTTGATATAAAACTCTGAAGATTCAAATTTTTGAGTCAATATACATGTATAATACACATGAGATTATAAATACAGGTAATTAATTGTTTTTTTATGACGCTATTATTTGCAGATACGCAGCTATTATTATAAATTATGGCTTAATCAGAAGATATTCATTTTGTTTTGCCTATTGGTGTATTTTTAAACTTACAACAATGTGTCTTACTATCATTGATAAAAAATGCTGCGTAATTGAAAATATTTGAATAATATGTAATAAGAAAAAAAAGAGTTAAAATTTTTTTACTGCAAGGAATTGAGTGGGTTGTTTAACAAAATCACTCTGTATATAAAATAACAATAAAATTTTTATATAAAAACATAAAAATTTAGATATTAATTACAATAAACTTTATTTGGTCAAGAGTCAACCTTTCCGTCGTACCTTCAATTAACAGAAATATATAAGTTATTTTTAAATATTTACTTGATAATTTTCTTGACTAAGATTAGAAGTGTAGCCATGAACTTCTTGAATTGAACTAGAAATTGAACTCAGTCTGGTTTCTTTTTTTAATTCCCTAGAAAAATTCAATTTATTAAGGCTTATATGAAGTGTACTCGGATATTTTTTAAGTATTCCTTTTTTCAACCAATGTGCGACCTAAAAATAAGAAGAACAAAATGTAAAATTATTCAGTTATCATAGATAAAATTACAAGCCTAATATAAATTATATGAAAAAATTATCAGGATAAATAAATAAAATTAATTTTGAGTATAAAATAGAACACTTCTTTTCAGAAAACTAGTGCATAAAATAAATCTAACATTTTTTTTTTTTTATTAAAAACTTTTTGATATTGTTTCTATTATTATTTTTTTATAAAATTGGTTATTTCAGTTGCCATGTAAAAAGACTGTAACGTCACAAATTCAAAGGTGGACCGTTTATGATATTTTGTTATGTCTACTTATTTATTTTATCGCGAAAGAACCTTTTTCTGACACAGCGGTGTCAACCACTCATTATTTTACCGCTGACCGCTAGATAAGGCGATAAAAGAGAAATATAATTAAAATCGAATTGTTTATCAGTATTGATCCCTTCCAAAAAGACTGGCCGTTATCGATATGAAATTGCCGTTAGATCGGTGTTGACTCTTCTCTATTCTTTCTTCTGTCATTGACCGTGCTAGGGTGCACACATTTGTTGTTTTATTGACATATTTTTCAATGATGGAGTAGAACCGCCAACGGCGAACGGCCAGATCTTTTCGGCGAAGCATCCAGACCATCGGATGGGTCTCTTCGGAGACCGGGTATCGTTTTCTTTTTTTATATTATATTTATGTAATGAGCTATATTTTATTAATTATTTTATTGTAAATTAACTTAATTTTGTTTATGTGTGGAGAGCACGTGTTTCCCTTTTCTTCTAGCCAACGCTAAGGAGCGAGTGTCCAGACCGCTCCTGGTGTTCTTCATTAATTTCCTGTTAACATTAACGGATGTGTTCCAATACCGTCCGTGATGTTTGTAATATTATTTGTTTAAATATTTTATTTTATTTGTATTTTGATTGTTTTTGATGCATTCGCATTTTTGTCCATGTTTAACTTAATTTTCTTTTTTTAACAATTAAATTAAATTTCCTTATTAATTTCAATTGTAATATTTATTTTATTGCGCGAGTAACTTAATTACTCGCGTGTATTTCATTCCTATTCCTTAATCTAGACACGGGCTACGGTATGTTTTACATATCAACCACATACAACTTTGATTGTCATAATTGTGTTCTATAAACCACGAGGCATTATAGTAATTTATACATATAACGACATATTAACTTAGATTATACTTTTAATTAACTTAAAATTAAATTCCACCTATGGTCCGGTAATCATATCTGATAGGTATGACACCTCGCCTAGGTGGTGGCGACCCTTGCTGATTTACTAATATAAAAGCCCGCTTGCAAGACATACTCCAAGAAAATTCACTGGTCCTGATAGGCGAACAATGTGTTTCATTTGTGATAGTGAGTGTCATTTCATAATGGTCTGTATGCATCTGAAAGAAATATTGCAAAAAAAGCAACAAGGCGAGTTAAATGACATCGTTAATGAATAGATGTCGATATTACACATTTGACTTCAAGTGCACGATGATCCAAAAAAAGTATAACATACTTTTTTTTTTAATTAGACACTTTCCTCTTATACAGAGGACTAACTTTTAAACGAATAAATAACTTTTGATCTCCATTTAAGCATTGCTAAAAGTACTAGGTTATCGAAAAAATTTCCATTAGAAGCAGCAGCTCCCAAAAAAATTAATGAAATCTCAAGAAATTCTTTATTGTCATCGCGACATTGTTGAAATTTTAATATTTCTAAACAAAAAATAATAACTTCATATTGGCCACCATCAATTGAAATACATACAAAGATATCAGTTACACCGCTATTAAATAATTTTGCATCTATATTTGGCCAATAATCATGAAATGTTTTAAATAAAAATATATTGCTTTCCCTCAAAATGACAATAAAACTGTTGGTCTATCTACTTTGACGTTTCTTCTTACATCAAGGACCATTTAACCGTTCCAATGTAAAACAAGACTCCTTTATCAAACAATTTAAAAATTTTTCACAAGCTTTATTTTTTCTAAAAGAATCTTTGGCGTTAGATAGTTGATCTATTTATTACTAACTTAGAAATAGCATTATTTGATGCTTCAGCAGTTACTAGAATCATATGGATCGCATAATGATCACTAAGTGTATGATTACTAAGTAGTATGTGTTAACAACATTTCAGTTGTTAACTTAAAAGTGTGTACTCGGACCGGTTTAATCATTATCACGCAACTACTCCCTACTACTCAAGTAGTAGTGGATATCGCTACTACCGGCCGATCAGCTGTACACACACTACACACCACACACAACACATAACCACAAAAAATTTATATAATATAGTTTTTATTGTATTGGGTAATAATTCGTTTTTGTTTTGTTTGTTGAAACATTTTTCATTTTGTTAGTTCTAATATACAATTTGTTTGTTGATATAGACGTTGAATATTGTTTTTAAAACGTTACGGCAAGGTTCAAAGTTATAAAAACTAATATAATTTTGTTATTCTATTCTTTCACTAATTGCTAGGATCATTGATTGTACAGCCAAAAATTAGCTCGATAACTTGTATCTTTACTGTGATATTTCATTGCTACATATTAAATTTTTCTAGTCAATTTGTGTTACCAAAAAATTGTATTAAGTTAAGTTCCTTTGTTATTGTTGTGATTCGTGTTTTAGTTTTAGGTAGCATCTCTGGCCAGCAGCTCTGCAAATTGTGAGTACTATTATTGATGTTTGTGTTCCATTGTGTAATTTAGTGTAGTCTTCTTTATTATTATTATAGTTATTATTGATTGTGATTTATTGAACAGATTAGTTATTACAAGTTTTATTCATTTATTATTGGAAGAGTCACATTCATTTGTTATTGATTTATTGAATTTGTATAGTTTATCGTTGTTGTCATTTTGTTAGATTTTTTTCAGAGTTTATAATTATAATTGTTGAGCCAAAAGGGCTAAATTTATATAATCAAGTTATTCATTAAAATTATTATTATTAATTGTTGTAAAAAGGATTTGAATTATTTATTCACTTAGTTTAAGAGCACACACAAAACATATATACACACAGTACACACTTAAGCACTACATAGATCGCTGGTTGCTGCGCAGGCGACCCCTCCCACCTCCAGTGATTCTATTTACATACACCACACTACACAGCCTGATCGGTATTGGTGCAATTAGCCGGTTCGGGTACGCACTATAATATTTAGTGCCCCTGGCCCCAACAGTATGATTTATTTTTAATTTTAGAGAAATTCGGGGGGGTTATTCCAAAATTCCTCCAATTATGGAAAAAAAACCAGGTCCTATTTTTTACTTTACCAGGATACTCGCTCATATATTACTATGGTTCGAAAGATTTACACCCTGTATATCATAAATTAAATGTAATGTAATGTTTTTTATTATGGAAAAAAAAATGTCTGATTTTATTTTGTCTTCACGGTAAAAATGGCTACCTAATGCTATTTTTGTGTGAAAATTCTCGATTTTGTATTTTACATTTTTAACTTTATAATGCTATAACTTATTGAAAAGTTTATGGATCAACACAATTTTTGATCAGAAATAATATTTTTTAATGATCCCTTTTTTATTCGATATACTTTATTTTAATCAGGATATTAATAAGGAACTAGCAGATCATGTCTTAGTATATCTTGTTTTATATACAAAATTAAGTCTATATACCCCCTTGAACCTAGAAAATTGAAGAAAAAATAAGAGTTCAAACTATTGTAGTAATAATTAGTTAATATGAATATCTACACACGATTTTCAAAACGTTAAAGATGGTACTTAAATGATATTATTGTGAAATAGATATTGACGCGGTCGAATTGCACTTCCGGCTTTACCGCTGGATAGCGACTGCGACACAGCTATCTCTCCTCGTCCGACAGGTTTCGCGATGCCGAGTGACCGCGGGTGACGCGAACCGGTCCAGCTCGGCGGCTACTTGATGAATCATATAACACTTTTCCTTTCAACGTCCTCACGGAATAAATAATCGTGATATTTGTACGGATTTATTAAATACTAATTTAAAATATATGTTAAAATAAATCTAACGGCTGTGTTATTTATTTATTTATTATAATAAAATAAATCCTTAATTCCACAACAATATTTATATATATTCGTAATTTTGATATTACGCATTTTTTATCATTTTTTTTTTTTTATATTTCATTTTAATGAGAAAAAAAAATACATTTTTATAACTTTTTAAATTTAAGTGTATTAAGTTGGACAAAATATAATACTATTATTTTAAATTAGATATTTTTTTATCAATTACAATTTTGATTGTTAAATTATTTTCGTATCTATTTTATTTTTATTCTAGAAAAAGAGGGGTTTAACCAATTATATCAAATTTTCAATAGAGAATTTTTAATCATTCAAATATACCTACACCTTTTGTAGAATAATTCTTATTTATTTGGTTTATAAGTTAAAAAATCATAATTTCAGTTTTAAAGTTTACTATATAACATAAGCTATACTTTTCTTCAACGCATACAAAAAGAGTGAAAATTTATTAAAACTTTTTTTTTTGAGATAAAAATATAAACACTTATATTAATAAATATTTAATTTAATAAATACCATTGGACGATTATTAGGTATAGACTTTGATTCATGCCATGGTTTGTATAACTGCAATCTAATTTTTTTGTCAGTATTGTCATTACCATGCAATCCAATTGGTCTGAAAAAAGCCCAAGCTATTCGATACCAATCCTCTGACATTAATGGTGGACGGTACTTGCCTATGAAGTCTACTATTTCAAAAAGGATTATAGTATTTTTCTTTATAATATCTTCAAACTGTTCATTAATAAGAATATTTTCATTCCAACGAGGTACAATAGTTCTAAATCATTTAGTTTTAAGATTTCAGTTCATAAAATTTTTAATAAGATAAATTTAAATAAAATATTTATAATTCAATAAACACTTTCTAAAATATAGTTAATATAATTTAACAACTAACTTTCATTCAAATTGTTCATTTTCTACCTACATTTATATTTTAAAGTTAAGTATATTAAGAATTTCAAAAAAATCTATCAAGTCAATAGTATTTTAGAATAACTATATTATGAAACAAACACACTTTTTATTAAGGAACATCGCAAAAAAAACATACATTTATATGTGTAACACACTAAAAAAAAATGTTTCACTAGAACCGCCACACAGGCACACACACACTTATCTATATTTTTCCTTTTTTTCCCTCCACAAATCATTGATAACATTCGGGCATTCTGACACAATTAATGTCCTTATTAATAATTCCTTAACAATAATCAATATATATATATACACGGTACGTTCCATAAGTAATGCGTCGCATTTTTTTTAAAGAAATTTATTGAACGAAATGGTACAATTACTTAATATTCTTCAAAGTACTGTCCTTCAGCATTAATACACTTAATCCAGCGAGATTTCCATGCAGCCTACGCGTCCTGCCACTCCTCAGCCGGGATGCTGTCAAGAACCCTCGTTGTGGTAGATTGGATGTCCTCTATCGTTGAAAAACGGGTTCCTTTCAAGTTTCTTTTCATTCGGGGGAATAAAAAAAAGTCACAGGGGGCCAGGTCGGGATTGTAAGGAGGTTGGGGCACCGTTGCGACACCGATCCTGGCCAGGTAGCTGGTGACAACGAACGAGGTGTATGAAGGCGCGTTGTCGTGATGCAGCCGCCAGTTCTTGCTGATCTCCTTTCGGACGCGCGTCACTCTGTTGTTCAGTCAAATAAGCACTTCTTTGTAAAACTGACCGGTTACAGTCTGTCCAGCTGGCACAAACTCCTTATGCACTACCCCCCTTTTGTCGAAGAACACAATCAACATCGATTTTACCCGCGACTTGCTCATCCTGGCCTTCTTCGGACGCGGCGACTCATCGGTGTGCCACTCCGAACTTTGGCGCTTGGTTTCAGGATCATATTTGAAAACCCAAGTTTCGTCTCCCGTGATGACGTTATCGAGAAAACTGGGATCAGCGTCAGTGAGATCGTCGAGTTCTTGACCCAACAGCACACGATTTTGCTTCTGATCGTCAGCCAAAATCTTCGGTACGAGTTTCGCGCAAACCTTGCGCATTTGAAAATCTTCCGTAACAATGCGGTAAACGGAGGTTTTAGGAATGTCTAATGCGTCTGCCAACATTTGCAAACTCATTCAGCGATCAGTGTTTAGTAATTTTCGCACACGAGCGGCATTTTCGTCACAGCGCGACGATGACGGGCGGTGTTCGTCGGCGACCTATTTTCGACCTTCTGTAAACTTCTTGTGCCACCGGTTCGACTGCGATCTTGACAGGCAAGCATCCCCGTAAGCCTCCGCAAGCATTCCGTAAGTCTCGAGCGGCGTCTTCTTCAGTTTCACACAAAACTTTATCGCGTATCTTTGTTCTAAACTTTTCTCCATCGTAACCACGACGAGGTGCTCGCGCAGAGCGTCACTAAAACGCACGTCCTACAGCTCCAAGGTCACAGAGCGAACTGCTCTTGGCGGCGATGCGTAGCTAACTTCCCCCTCCATCGACTCCCGCTTAGAGCGAGTCGATCGGACGAATAGTCGCTTCAGAAAAAAATGCGACGCATTACTTATGGAACGTACCCTGTATATATATATATATAACAGAATAACTAGTAAAAACCATACTTTTTTTTTGAAACAAAAATAAATTTTCAAATAATTATTCATACTTAACAAATAAATCACAAAAAAAAAAACAATTTAATATAATTAACAGTTCATCCTCTTGTCGAGCATAATCATTTCAATCACAAACAAAATCTTTATACCTTTTGGGTACTACAACGTTACGTCTTGGTCTTTCTACTTCCACCGTTGGTTCAGGTTCTTCTGACTCGTTTCCTCCTTCCTCTTCTGTACTGTTATCCACTTGAGTTTGAACGGTTTTAAGAAACTAACATGAGCTGTAGTAGCATACAGTCGCCGGTGGGTAGGATGCACTGAAGCAATCTTGTAAGTATCCCCATCACATTCCTTAGTTACCACAAAAGTGGTCCTCTATACTTTTGTTGAAGTACCAGTGTGAACAGTGTAGAAACACAATTTCTCCAACTTGAAATTTTATTTCCACCTTTTATTTGTCATACCTCTGTTTTCACTTCTGTTGAGCTTCTACAATGTTCTCTCTGATTCTGGCCTGTGTGTCTACCGGATCTTCGGTTAATGTTGTTACTGTCACGAGTTTGTCTAACAACCCATCTTGTGACATTGTTGAATATCCATACAGAGCTGAAATGGTGATTTTCCAGTAGCCTTATTAAGCTTGTTGTTCAGCTGAAACTCCACTTCTGGTAGTTTTTGGTCCAATGTGGACTCTTTATCAGTTTCAGTAGTAATTGCTGATAGTATTGTTGAATTGGCACTCTCACATTGTTCATTTGTTTGTGGATGTCTGATTGATCCCAAATGAAGTTCAATTCCTTCCTCAATACTTTCTGAACTGTTCTGAGGTAAATACTGTTCCACGATCACATGATTTTCCTGGGCAGCCCAAATTACAAAGTGAATGACTTTAATTGACGTACGACTCCTTTAGTATGGACACTACTCGCTGGATAAAGCTTGACAAACTTATTCAAATTATCTGTAAGCACTAACAGATAATTATTTTTCTTTGAACTAGTCGGAAAAGGTCCAAGATGATCAATATGTATCGTCTCGAAGGGTCTCTTCCCTGGTTCAATGGGATGAAGTTTTCCCGGTCGCTTTCCACGGGGCACTTTGTTCACAACACAGGCAGCACACATATTAATGTGATGTTTAACATACCTGCGTAAGCGAGAGAAATAATACTTCTCTAGTATTTTAGATACGGTTCTGTCTGTTGAGAAATGACCTGACATATCATGAAACTTAATTACCAAACTTTTGCGCATTGATTTTGGAACCACCCATAGTTTCTTTTTTTCACTATTTTGCGAAATTATCCGATACAGTATACAATTGATAATCTCATATTTTGATATAACTGTCAATGACGGTGCTTCACTAGTTAGATCTGATATTATAGTTTTTAATTCTGCATCACTGTTTTGCATAGCTACCACATATTCTTCTTCACTCATTGTCACTAATACCTCCAAGTTTTCGCTTATTATTTGATCCATAGTCTCACCTGTGCTGGATCCACAGGAGCTCTGCTTAATGCATCAACATGCTGCATAGCCTCCAACGGCCTATGGCGAACTTCAAAATTGAATTCACTAAGCAAACTTGCACAACGGGCAATTTGAGGGTTTCTGTTTTTTTACTGTTCATACCCACATAGCAATGAAATATTTCTAGAATATTCCTAGAATATTTATTTTTTATATTAAAATATTTCTAGAATATAACCAGAATATTTTGAAATATTCTCACAATGTTCTCAGAATATACTTTGACAGCAAATATTACATTCTCAGAATATTTTAAAGGTATATTTCTAAAATATTATAAAAAAATATTATAACAATATTTTTAAAATGTTTTATGAATATATTCAAAAAATGCAAAAAATAAGACCGCTTCGCGTGTTTTAAACCCCTAACTTCAAGTGCTTCAGACTCGTGCGTTACCAATTGACCCACAGGTTGCTACGACTGTGAGAGGATAAAAAAGACTATTTAAGGTAGTTCAAATGGTTATTTGTCAGTTTTCTCGTTTAAAAAAATTCAAAGTAAATTCAACTTTATATTTAATTTAGATTACATTCATATAATTTTTTTGAAAATCAGCGATCCCATCACCATGATCTCTCCTTGTAAGTTAGAAATTGACCTATATTTTTGATAATATAAAAATACATTCTAATTATAGCAAAAAAACTTTTTAGGATTTAAAGTTTCACAGGACAATAATAAGATATAATTGCGTTGATAAAACTAAAATTTTTTTAACTCGATAGGCTTGCAAATAATAGCAACAAGGTTTTTTATACTGTCCCTGACTTACTTAGTTTAATTGAATTAGGTTAATTAAAATTGATACTAATTAGAGAAAATGGCTGTTTACTTATTAAGGATTTAGGAATATGTATATATAATACATAAGTATTATATAACTAGATACCAATACCATCCAAAGATGTAACTAAAGGGAGAAAAGAGGATGGCTTGTGTCTCTTAAGTTACCTCAGTTGGCCAACAAGATATATATTTATAATATTTAAAAAATTATATTGATAATATATTCAACAAATATTTCGAGTTAAATATTCTATATTTATTCTAATTAATATATTTTCATAATATTTATAAGCAAATATTTAATAAGATATTTATTAAGTACATTGTAGAAATATTTTCAGTGTAATATACTGTATTTATTCACTTTAATATATTCTCAAAATATACATAAACAAATATTTAAAAAATTATTTTGTGAGCATATTATAGAAATATTTCAATAGAATATATTTTTTATTATATTTATGAGATATTGTCACAATATTTGCTTCAAAATATTTTTAAAAGTATTTTGTAAGAATATTTTGACAATATTAATATATTGAAATTGCTATGTGGGTATGGACCAATGCTTGACAATCTGTAACTACAACAAAATGAATACCAATCAATAAATGTCTTAACTTAGTTAAAGTCCAAACTATTGCCATTAACTTAAGATGGCTCGAATGATATTTGCTTTCGGCATCTGTCGTCTTTTTGGAAACAGCATGCACTAATCGCAGTTTGCAATCAACGTCCTGTTGCAACAACATACCACTTAATCCTATTGAACTGGCATCACAGTGTACCTCTGTCACTGCACACAGATCATATAGTTTCAGAGTTGGTTCCTCTGTTAATGCATTTTTCAACTGTTGAAACACTTCTTCTTG